AATACGTCTAAAACCATCTCATATATGTATAGTATTTGGAAAATAAGTTTCAGGCGGGACAGTGCTATAGTTATTGAGGAGTAGTTGTAATAAAGTGCGTATTTTAGCGTTACCAAGAGAATGACAGATAGACAGACAGACAGACAGACAGACAGACAGACAGAAATTGAGATAAGGTTTGATTCGGTTTCTCTGACCTATGAAATGTAAAAATAACCAAAAAGTTCATTATTCTAAGCAATGTACAGACAAAACTCTAATTTTATTTATATAGATTTTCTTGCATTGTTAAATATGTTTTTGATTTTTAAATATATATATATATTTAAAAATCTATATATGATTTAAAATATATATATGAATTTGAACGGATGGTGTTTTTGGCCTCTAGGGACCTCAAAACGAAAAAAAATCGGTCCCGCGTCCAGGTCTTACCATGAGTACTACGGTAATAGCTTATTCCCTATGGGAAATTCGCTAATACAAATAAATAATAAATGAAAACCATTTGTTCCAGAAAATTAAAAGTAGGCTACCTGTTCTTTTTGAAATCCACATCCAGCGTGGAAGACGACGAAGGTCCCGGAACTTTCACGACACATTTGTACTTCTCCGGTCTCTCCCTAAGGATGAAGTTACTTTCAATCGCTTCACAAGACTTACTGCGGCCTGACTTGTTGCCACCCAAACCGTTGGCCAGTTCCCGGCAGAGGTGGCATTTACAATTTTTTGAACATCGCATCTTTTTTACACTGATCACATAGTAAACAACAATAAACTCAAACAAACGTTTGTTTTACAATAACACACCGATTTAAAATTTAATCTAAAAATTTTATAAATAAAAAATTTTAAATAAAAAAATTAAAGAGCTATAAAACTAACACAATCTAGTAGTATATTATGCACACGTTAAGGCCGCTCCAGTAACTATAACAGCCCCAGTGAAACTGCAAGGCCCGGCCAATGTCTGCGGTGGGACGCTCGTTACTAATTAACAATGAATAATCACTCCCACGATCCCACCACTTCCCATCATTTCATTGTTGGAAAAGTGAGCATCCTTGGAAAACATTCCCGGTGGACATTTTTCTTTACATCTAATTTGTCAATAAAACCCGTTGTCCAAACTCTTCTCCCACACGGTCACCAAACTCTTTCCGAGATTTATTTTACTACCTTAAATTGACCATTTCTATGGAAATTTATTCTGGTTAAATCTATGCAGGTTGAATGTGTTTTCACAAGGGTAAATTAACATTGGTTGATTTTTTTAGCTTTTCAAAAGGCAATTTTAGTCATGAGTAATGTAGTAGGCCTAATACCCTTATTTACAACTAACTACTTATCTGAGAAACACAACTAATGGTACGTCCAGAGTGCATGCCGATTGATTCAGATTCAGATTTTCGCCACGTGGTTAATCTGAGTCAGATATTTTGTTGGTGGTCACAGTGGAAGCAGGAAATACGCCGCCGGTTCTGACTCTGTTAGCAAAGAAGCAAGTCAGTCAAAAATTATTAAGTTGTTATGAAATTGTCTGAGGAGGAATTAAGGTATACAATTATAACGTCTGAATCTGTTGTGAAGTTACAGCCAGTGAAATGGTGTTCATGATATTACAGAGCTTCTTTCTATATTGCGTTGAATGGAGCCCGAAACCACCTAAACTAATTATTAAAATTGGACATCGTATTGTAAGAAACTTGTGTAACCTACACAGACAAAACAATTTGCCTGGAGCGTTTAGTGCTAACCCTAAAAGTAAGGATGAAAAAAATTTGAATACAAGTGCCATTCCTGACACCAAAAATCTGAATCTGAATCGCCGTGCACTCTGGACGTACAGTGAAACAGTGAAACCCACTGAAAACTGGGCCTAGTATGTGCTACAGTATGTGCTATTTTTTATTCTATTTTATAGATTCATTGTTTACATTAGTTTTACATGGTTGTTCATAATTCACAATAATTAATTTTGTAATCACCATTATACAGATTTGGAAGTAACTTAATGTATCACAGAATACATAGATCTTCTTACTGATGGAAAAAAACAAGTACACACTTTTAACAAAAAAATTGTATTTAAAAAGTTAAATTAATTTAAATGTGTTCCAATATACTCAATAAAATGCATGCTATTTTATGTACATAGTGGTACATCACAACAATATGTGCCAAGGATATAGAAAGTCGTAATGCATAACTAGCAGGAACTGAGCTACACTTACTTACAAATCAATTAAACCAGAACCTGATGCAATGATTATGCAGTATGTAGTTAGTAATGCATCAATAAACACGTTTGTGTCAGGACACAATAATCAATTGATAATATGAGTATCAGGTAATTTTTAAATGTTGTCAAACTGACGGTTTGTGAGTTACAGTATATCATTGAGAGGATTTGAACGAGTTAGCTACATTTAAAATTTGTCATTAGCATATTCAACAAACCATTTAAGATTAACCAAATTAATCCTAATTTATAGATAGCAAGAAAATTTTGTAAATATTAGATCCAGAATGACTTCTTGGTTTTTTGTCCAAAGATACTGTATTAAATTATACCTATGTTTAGATTAGATTAGATTTCTACCCCTAGACACAACAGTGTGTGTAGTGTAAGGTAAAGGATGAGACTTGAAAGGATAAGATGACAGCTTTGTTATTGACTATGATCAGCTGGCTTCTTAGCCAGGATCATTTATTAAAATGACCAATGGGCAGGGACAACTGGATCCAGTTTCAAACAATCAAAAAACTTAGAAGAAACAGTAGGACAATTTCTTCAAAACATTCAAATACAACAGAATGAGGGTAAATTTACTCTAAAAATTAAGTGATGCAGAATGTGTGTACCTACGCATTGACGATTTATCCCATTTCGTAGCAATAGTTAGAGGTAACAATCACACTATATTTTATCTCTCTTGGTTTTCAATGTGAAATCTCAATATGATTTCCTGATTGGACACTGATAGGTATTGAGCTCACTCTATTCCATTACTTCTGATTACAATATTTATCTCAACAGAAGTGGATGATGCAGAAACAATAATTTTGCATGTCTCTAATTGCCTCATGTATGAAGGGTTGCTTTGGTAATCACATATTAATTTAATGTGAGAAAAACAGGTTTGAGCCCTGACAAGTCCACAAAATTTGGAAGGGTTTAGACCAGATTAACTTTTTCAATATTTGATTTTGTCAACAAAATAGAACTGAAATTGAAACTTCCTTACAGAATTATTTTTACTCTGGTTACTAATACTAATATATACACTTTTCAATTAACTTCAGAAACTTTCATGCAAACAAAGTTAGCATCTAAATATTCAATATTCATTATTACAGTAATGTGATGAAGAAAAACATATTTAATAATACATAAGTAAGTCTTTTGCTATAAGATAGACCTACCAATGAGTTGGAGTTGTTATCAAACAACATTTTTCATTTAATTTTGACAAATACAATTTTAAGTCTGAGCACATAAAAAATTGGCATGAGTCAAGAAATATTTTAAAATTTAATAGGCGGAAGAGGAAAAGTCCCATAACTCTTCCAGTTGAATCAACCATTGAAAAAAAGGATATTTGAACCTGCTGTTGTTAACTCAAAATATTGCAGGTAGGTACAACAATTTTGAAAGGACATATACAAAAACGTCTAAAAACTCAAAATATTACTGGTACCGCAATTGTGTAACACCAACAAATTAAAAAATGTCCATCAACTCAAAACAAAACTAGTACAGCAAATCTGAACGGACACCAACAAATTGAAATGTGTAAATAATTTTGCTGAGATAAAAACCACAATTTGAAGCAATAACCGTTCAAAGTGGTCCAGAGAAGGGAGCGAATGTAATTGAAGGAAGAAATGGTACAAGTGAAGAAGAAAGTGATGGGATCTTCACATGAATAATAAACACAATGAATGCCATTGCCAAGGAAAGTGTGAGAAGCTGGTAGTGTTACCACAACAGGTTAATTATCTGATCACATCTGCGACAGTCGGCAGGAGGAGAGACTACAGCAAATGACTCAGGATGCCCTAGATCTGTGTTACTGACAAATTACCAAGTGTATTATGAAATTGTTTAATTAGAGAGTGAGCATTTCAACAATCACTGGTTTCACTTTTTGTTAGTCGTGAACCAACTGAAAATATTTTTATTTAATCATTTTTGAATTATTCTAACCCTAGAGAATATTTAGGTATTAATCTCTAAAGGACGTCAAAGAGTGAAAGACGTGAATGATATTTAAAGCCGAAGGATATGCAAATGTAAGACTGAGACAGATGGCGGAGAGCTGTAGACGAAGCTTTAAACCTTCTTAAGTTTGATTGACCGAATAAGCATAGGAACAACAATGTTAGAATTTTAATAAAATTTTGCAAATAAAAAAAAAGGTTATTAATCCTACGTTATTTTTAGGTGAAGCGTTATCAGCACAAAAGAGTGAACCTGTGATTTAAAGGTAATTCTTAAATTATTCCATTCATAAACAGAATTATTTGTAAATAAATTATTGAGTAGGTCTAACTTACTAGAAATTATAAAGTAAGGCACTTCTAAATATCACTTTCATCACATGAAACCTGAAGATGAGTCAAATTGTCAGCTCCTTTACTAAATATGGATCCAAAGAAATTCACATTAAAAATAAATTAAGATCCACAAAATTTACCTTTTCTTTAGATTATACACAAATTAGGCTACATAAAAAAAGTCGCTGAATAAAAACTTACCTTTGCTGCTTCGGGAAAGAAATAAAATTCCTGACTAGATTAAATCGAATACAAATCATATTCTTAATACAGTAACTAAAATATCTTATAACTGCTGGATTTATATAGCTTTTGGTACTAAGAGTTTGGTACAACCTGCAGTCAACTCTAATAAACAAGCTAATTAAAAACACAAATCTACGTAATTAGTCAGGATTTAAACATTATTTCTATTTCTACATGTTATTGAATCTTCCTACCTTCTAGGTTTTGGTCTGACGATCTCATGACTGCCTTCTACAAGGCCTGCAGGGCTACGGTAGTGGTCAGGATCACGGAACTCCGGCATGGGGTGCACTTGGGCCGGACTAGCAGTCATCATACGATCACCTGCACAACAACAATGATTTTGAAAATAAAGCCCTAAAAATATTTACACAAAGCTATGGTTTATCCTGTCTGAAAAGTCAGAAGATTGTCCATGGTTCTAGGCTGGACCCAGCCGTCCTTGATGATTTGAGAGTGTGGGCAAGTTGATATGGACTCAGGAGGTTACAATACAACCCCTTAATTGCATAGGCTACCTATGTCAATTAGTAAACCCGCCTCAACAAACCTGCCGACTAGGGGAATTTCCATTTGTCTGAATTTATTTTCAACTAAATCTAATTAAATAACACTAGTGTACATGTTGCTCGAATTCGAGCAATTACAAAATATTACAGGAGTTATTTCAGATTGAATGACAGTCATATTTACAATGAGTTTAAAAGATTCAACTCAAATATTACCGTTGTGTAACTCAGACCATGTTTATCTTCTTTATTGATAAACCTAAAGCATTCCGGACGGTTCTCTCCTTCTCAAAATGCCTCGCTGTACAGGCAACACAGGTCATTAATAGAGGGCCAATTGAGAACGAAAAGTCGTTTTGGGGTAGTGTTAGGGCGCATTTTGTAACCCAATAGTTGAAGTTGTCCAGGTTCAGGTTCAGACTGTGATGAGTTAAGCCTATTACGCGCCACTGTTCTGTAGCTGCTGCGGTCGTTATCACGATTGCGCCTCCTGTCTATATTTCGCTGTCGTTGCGTCGGAGACATTTAAAAGAAATAAACAGGGACGTATTTAAGTATCTGCCGCCTCTAGGCAACAAAGTTTGCCGCCGCCCCTCCCGCTCCCACTTTTCAACGCACTCCCCGACCTCACTAATATCACCCTAATGGCCAATACATGCCCTGTCAGCTGGTTTTGTGGAAAAATAATTGGTAATATTGCATGCTGCATCAACAAATTTAATAACTTTTCACCACACTATGATGTTTTTACCTGTTTTACATGCGTTAATTGGTGGCTGAAAGTTACGATTTAAAGCCCAAATGACGATTTAAAGTCATCGTCTTTTGGGGACCGAGCAGGTTCTTACATCCCTAGGGCCGCAAAATCAGCTGATCGCTTACTTTTTAAAACATGAATGCATATTAAATACACAATAAGTATCCATAGCATTGCAATAGAATTGTTTTATTGTCACCGCTGCCTAGCAACTATTTATTTTAACTTTTGCTGATTCCTCAAATTATTTCTTCACATAACCTTAAAGTTCTAGTTGTGTTGACTATCAGTGTGCATCATTATTGTGGTGAATTAAGGTGCTATTTAGGTATAGTGTGGTGGAAAATAGCGTTCGTACCACGGACCGAAATGGTTTTGCAGCTCTCGATCGTTTTAAGTTGACTACGTCTCGAACCTCAAAACTATCTCGAGCCGGCGAAACCTCATTTTCGGCTCTAGGTACGAAATATACTATTTCGACCCCTTTTAACGGACTTTTTAGTGCCGTTTTTTTTTTGTAAAACATTCTGACTTGGATAGGCCTACACGGAATGCAACTTTTTTTTATCTAATCAGTATTTTTACAATCCCATTTTGCGGCTTGAAACGGCCCACAAAATCGTCTATATACAATGGTTCTTATAACGCTTTTCATTGAACACTATTAGTCAGATCCACTTGAGAGACGTGCTATTGGCTTTGATTTGAAATGAAAGAAATATGTTTTCTTATACTTTTTATTTCTCCCAAAAGCACATGAATCGCAAAGAAAAATTACGTACTACTGTAATACTGAAAGAATATACAATTTTAAATTGGTTAAGTTTGGTACAGTGGTAAGTATTTAGTTCACACTTTTCTTCTTGATTTTAACCTAGCAAAAGAATCTTTCAGCTATAGAGCTGCCGCTGCGTAGTGGTGTATGAAGTAAACAGAAGGGAGTGTTTTCTACGTTTGTCACTAGACATAGCGGCCGGCACGGCGACCCGCTCCCGCGGCGAGCGTGTCCGCCAGACCAATAGGGCAGCACGGACAACTCTACACAGCTGTGTAATAAACTATTGACGTTTGTTTGACTTGGATGCGTTCTGAAATAGTTGTATACTTAATCAAAATATTTGAAATGGCTATTTTGCCGTTCCCAAAATTATTTGCTAATTTTTTTTAGATTAAAACTTTGTTTTTTTATTTTTTTACCCTCAAAATTTTGCCGCCCCTAAAATTTGCCGCCCTAGGCGGGCGCCTAGTCCGCCTATTCGGAAATATGTCCCTGGAAATAAACAACAAATAGTAAACAAATTATAGCTACACTAAACAACGATAAATGCACAAACTTAAGTTACAATCATGCTAACACAATCCATCATAGCGACACAAAACAACGATAAATACACAAATTTAAGATACAACCATACTAACACGATCCGTCTTGGGGGTTATGTTTACACAAACTCAAATAGTAAATAAATGTACTCAATGTGTTTCATTGAATTGAAAAGTAAATAACAGCAATAAAATTATACAGCTGATCAAAATGTAAACAATTATGTTCTCATAAGGTTAACATGGGAACTTTCAAAGCCACTGGGGCAGAGCCCAAGGGACTTTTTCAAAAATGTAAGGTCAGTTTGCAAAACTACGCGACACGCTCTTTCCAATGAGACGTAAATGGATAAAATCGGTTAGGAAATGGCGGAGGAGTTCAACCGACAAACTTTCGTGTAGCGTATTAATTATATAGATTAGGTTTAACGAGTACCTAGGTTTGCTGCTACAAGGAAACTAATAAAGTGTGTTTTCAGTAAAATATTAATAGCTTAGTATAAAATAAATATAATTGCCAAGTTTGATGAAAATATTTTCATAAACAAGCAAACTAAAAAATTTTACAATATTCTCTATAAAAATAACATGGGCATTTTAAATTTAAAATTTTTTAAATTTTCCCTGTTACCAATAACCGTACAGAAACACTTTGGTATACATACTAATTTTTTTAAAGTTCTTTAAACAGATCTAGAGAGATATTAAGATTTTTTTTGTTTTGAGGGTCAAAAATGAGATAAACCTATTTTTACCCCATAAAAACACCATTCCCATAGTATTTAAAAATCGTTAGTGTGTTTTATAAGGGAAGATCATTTGTTAGAAGATAGTTGCGTGTATTTGACGTCAGAGAGCGGAGGGATGCATAGAGTGACGTCACGTATGTTCAGCGTAGTTTTACAACCCCCTGACTGGAGACGGAGAGTAAACAAACCTTTGCCCCGGGGTCAAGGTCATCAGCCTCATCACGTGACCTTGACTGGGCAAGCGACGCATTCCGTGGCTCACGCCTCACGTCACCTGCACCCGAGGGAATTGGAACAAATTCACCCGCGTTTTTCGTGGACCGTCGGAGAATGCAGGGGCGACGCTCGTCGAAAAGAAAAGAATTCCGGACACGCGGTTTCTAAACAATCAAACTTGGTGAAAAAGGTAGGGACGAAATTTAATGACGTTGCTAAAATTGTCAGAACACACTTTGATGGAGATGTGTTGTGCTTACCGATGGTTTACTTAATGAAACAGCTCGTTAAAATGTCCAAAAACAGAAATTAAAAAAATAAATATTAAAATGAACTCTAAAATTAAGTGTTTGTGGTAATACAGATAAATTCTTTTATTTTTATATTAAATGAACATGCAATTTTTCATTGTAATATAAAAAATCTTATATAGCCTCCGGATTGCAAAATAATACAAAAAAGGTTTAAATACCTGCTATTAGGCATTCCATTCAATTGTACGGTTACTGTAATACGGTAATTTTCGTAATCATCGTTTGGAACCTTTTGTCAATGTCCCTTTTCAAAAAAGTATATAATCAAAATGTCGATAACACATTAAATGTTTTTCTATTACACCAATATGTATGTTTATAGGTGAACGTTTAAACACGTTAAAACAACGTACCGGTACAAATTGTGGCCATTTGAGAAACTGACGTTATTGACGTTTAGGCTAAACATGGTGTGGTGAGGCGTACAATGCTTGTTTGGCTTGTTTGTACTCTTGTTTTGTTTTACTCTAGTTGGTTAAGGTTGTATTTGGAATGAGAGTCAAAGGCTCAACAATTACGGAGTATTTTAATAATTACTGTAATAAGGTATTGAGAAAATAAAATAATACATACAGTACAAGGAAAACTGACCAGTCTTACTTTAGCTAAAGAGAACAAAAAACATTTAATTCTTAAACACATTAATTTACACTTTATTTATATATGCATTTGCAGTATATTATTTACTCAAGAATGTGCTGTACATTGCATTTCAGCCGTAAACTACTGTCGTTGGAATTGCAGAAATCTCGATGTAGTGCGGTCTCATATCTAGTGGTGTGCAGATTATGAGTAATGTTAGCAATTTAGTGAACGTCCTTGCGAGATTACGTGCCGGAAGCGACCGTGCCAGAAGCGACCCAGCAAAAATCGTGCCAGAAGCGACCCTGGTAATAGTGTGAGTGCCACTAGCGACCCATTGTTTGATAATGGATTTTACAATGTTTTGTTCAAATCTATGTTAATGGCTTATAAACAAATCCTATTCTTGTTATAGTAATATGTACCACCTGGAAGAGCCCAATATTCGACTAAAGAGCTATTTAAGCATATCTAGTTTCCAGCTGCTAGCATAGACTCAAGTTATGTGTGGTTACTTAATCAAAAAAATTCTTGAATTTGTATCTATAAAATTAAAATTACAGTTTTGTTTGTACATTGCTTAGAATCATGAAGTTTTTGGTTATTTTTACATTTCATAACCTAAGAAAGCCGAAACGAGTCCTATCTCAATTTCTGTCTGTCCGTCTGTTTGTCTATTCTGTCATTCCGTCTGTGACGCCAAAATGTCATTTTACGCGGCCTACTCCTAGAACACTTGAGTACCGATCAAGGTTCTAATCTTTTTTTCTGTATTTACTGGATTGGTGAGAGTGTCTTTGACTCTAAAAACATGGCCCCGCTTCTTTGAAAACAAAATAACGAACCATCAAAAACCCAATTTTGTTCGATTTTG